ACGTGCATTTGCGATGTGACGTAGATAGTAATGATATATATTTGTCTATACTTGGAACATAATGCCTTCCGGGAGGACTTCAACAAGAAGGACCCTATTCAGGCGTTAGAGACGTGGAGAAAACCCGGAAAACTCCAAGTGGCCAGTCGGTCCCAGCGAAGAGTACAACCACGACGGAACTCTTAGTGTTTAGGTACGGACTTCTTAGCTACTATGCGCCCATGTTGAAAGTTGCCTTATATCTAATATTAAATACACATTAATAAGTAAGATATAGTTCATACATTTCTGTTTAAAGTTACAACACTTGCAAATACGTACACTTGATACATTTGTTAATAAAAATATGTGCTTATATAAAGTTTTCAATAAATAATTTTTTTTCTGTTAAAGAATATTCTTAAAGTGACGCATTATAAGTTACTATGAAATTTACTGTGTAAGATGTAAAATTAATATACGTTTAAATCGGCGTTTTAATCAATCTGATGATACAATACAGGCTGTGCTTTCTTTACATTTACAATCATCTTACTGGCATCAAGAAGTGCAATGAAAAAGATATTGTTTATCTTGTTATAAATTAATATTGATACATCTGTAATAAATTTCTATTTTTCATTATTTTCGTTTTACTCTATCGTATAATGTGCAGGATTAGATCATAATATTTGAAATTTAACACATGCTTGTTAATCCGGCGTACACTATATTCTAATGTAAAATATTGTGCGTTGTGGTTTTCATCAAAATGCTACTCGTGTTCCTGTTTATTAAAATGNCCGAAAGTCAATTATCCGAAACGTCAATCATCCGAAAGAATTCCAGTGGGCAAACTTAAATTTTCGCCAGTGCTGTGGCGCTGCAATCTTTGGCTATGTCTTGGGCTAATCGAATACTTTACGTTTTTAATACTAAATTAACTTTTGAAGTATAATTTTTATTGTTTTTATACTTTTCCAATATATTTATTTTGTTCGTACAAAATAAAAAAAAAAAATAATTTTTAACGACACAATAGTTTTCGTAAGGCTTTAACATCGACGAAAATTTAAGGCGAAGCGACACGCAACGGAGAAAAATGTCAAAAATAAATTAATTAATATATTTTTTCGTACATAATCAGTTATCCGAACATCGATCTTCCGAACAACCCGAGTCCCCAATTGATTCGAATAATCGACGCTCTACTGTATTTTACGAAAAATCCCGGCGTCAAAATTTATTGAAATTTAAAATCAATTCAGGATGCATCGGGTTAATTTAGACTTAGATTTAAGGAAATAGCTACCCACGAGAAATATCCGTTTGCCACGTAAAAACAGAAGTTTTATTATTTTTATGTTACCTTACAATATAACTTGGTTGCATAGTGTCTGTAATCTTTTCCCTTGTGCATAATAAATGTGTTAAGTTTATTTTAAATGCTTCTAATCCTTCCTGTATGGCCGACACCTTACAGCTTCGCTAATCCTCCCCCTTGCCAAAATTCACTTGAAAGCTGAATATGCCATTTTGTCGCCGCCGTTAAAAGGGGTTTACTTTTTTCTAAAGTTAGATCTAAGCAAAACTTTTGCTTTTTTGACTCGTGGTTTTCTACATTTTTAACTTTGAAATCGTAAACGAGGGTAACGCCTATATCAAAAACTATATTATAATACGCTATATTATTAGTTTTATTAAAGATAATTTAAAGCACACTATTTGAGTATTTTAGAGCAATTAAATTTTATTTAAATTAAAATATATTAATTAAATATACACATATACAAATATGAACGATATTTATTATAAAATATTTCAATACTTACTATAGGAGAATTTTAAGATACCAGAATCTACTTTTTATATCTAACTGTTAAATTTTCATAAATAATATATTCATTATAAAAATGAATTTAGCTGAACTTTTCTGTTTAATTTATATACAACATGACATTTTGTCAATATTTGACCGCAAGATTTTTACGTTTTTGAACTTGAAACGTCGATGAATAAAAAGAAAAAATTAAGTTCTTTCGAATTTGAACGGATATTAGTGTTTGTGTGTGGAAAACGATTTTCTTCATCCTGTTGAAAGCGTAATAATTCCTGTCCTTTGTTGTTGAACATGTCTGAAATTAGGCTTAAATCTTCTGTCTTTCAGAGGACTAATAGTATTAAATTTTGGTAGTTATAAATCGATGCGGTGGGGAGAGAAAAAAAAATTGTATGTTAAATCTCGAGTATGATCGGACTTACGACAACTTTTGGCATTATCAGCATTCACAATTTTTCATAAACCTTATTTCTACCCTCAAAACTAAGGTTGATGCCATGTTATAATAATTAAACATATAAAAAGTCTTCATAAAATATCGTAACAGACAACAATACACACTCAATTTCTTATCGAAACGAAAAAGATAAAGAGATTGCTGCTGGATTTTTTTTGTTTAGTTGAGAGTATTAAAACGTCNTGTAAGTATTTTTATTATCTATATCAGAAACATATATAAACGAACATTGAAATAACGGCCATTTTTAATTATACACCATTATAATTTTTCTCAAAAAAAAAGACATTCAAGTAACTTTTAAGTAAAAAGTTAAGTCCAAAGAATAGCCATGCCGTACGTCTTCTCTTGTTTTTTATGTAAGGCGAAAGCTATTAGGCTATGGTACCCTGTGGTAACTTGTGACGTGCAGTTGCGATGTGACGTAGTTACTAATAATATATATATGTTTATACTTACAAAATAATGCCTTCCGGGAGGACTTCTTAAAGCAACTGGCCCCTATTCAGGCGTTTCAGACGTGGAGAAAACCCGGAAAACTCCACGTGGCCAGCGGACGTGGCGAAGAGCGAATCCAGAACCGAAATCATAGTGTTTAGGAACGGAAATGCTTAGCCATAGTCGGTTATGTTGTACGTTGCCGTCAGTGACAATTATTTAAAGATTTGACTGTGTTTTCAATTAATTATAATATAGCATATCTAATATTAAATACACATTAATAATTAAAATATGAGACACATTGTTGTTTCGAGTTACAACTCTTGCAAATACATAAACTTCATACATTTATTAACAAAAATTTGTGATTATATAAATTTTTTAATAATTATTCTAATATCTGTTAAAGAACATTTTTGAAGTCATGCAATATAAGTTATTATGAAAACTATTGTGTAAGATTTTAAATTGATATACTTTTAGTTTGGCATTTCAATCAATCTGATAATGATACACTACAGGCCGTACAGTACATGCTTTCCTTTACAACCATCTTTTTCGCATCAGGAACTGCAACAAATAAGATATTGCATAACATGTTATAAATTATTACTTATGTAGTACATTTTGCATTTTTTATTATTTTATTTTCTCTTGTAGCGTATAATGTGCAGGAATAGGTTATAACTTTTGAAATTTAATATACGCTAGCTAATCCGGCATACACTCTATCACAATGTGATTTATTATGCGTTATCGTTTTCATCAAAGTGCTCGTATCTTTTGGTTCCCTTGACACCACAGTTAACCAGAACTTTCTCAGTCTACGAACGAGAAATATAAAGGTAATAACTAAAAAGAGTTGAAAAACAGAGTTTCTAAACCGTAACTCTGTTTTTCAATTATTTTTATTTAAAAAGAAATCACATGACCTGCAGTATGATTTTTGCCACTTTAAAAACGTATGCCCTAAGTTTGCCGAAAAATGTTATTAATCTGTGTAATTTATAGTCAGATTATAAGTAGTGCATTGTACATGTTATCGTTTGCGATTTTTCAGTAATAATTTCTTGAGCTATTTCATTGATATATTATTATTATATTTCATTTTTCTATTCATTTTTGAAAAACTGATGTCAATAATATAATATAATTATAACTTATCAGATCACGTTTTTATATTTTCGATATTTCAACATATATCTATATAAAATTGTATGGTGAACATGTAGAATGTTTTATAGACAACCTACATAGTCCTGTTTTTAATAATTTATTGCGTTACTCATAGATCTATCGAAGTATTTCAAATATCAACCGAAGTAACAGATAACACGATTTTTTTTTCTACATTTCTCGTAGGCTGTTTAAACGCAAGTAGTACAACAAGAATGGTCTCATAAAGTGGCCCTCGACATTCCAGATTTAATCTGATGTGATAACATAAACGACAAAAATTTTACGCTGCTTCTCATGTTACGTGAGCTAATTGCGGATGACAATTGATGGAACAATACCAGTAGAAAGATTCAATATGCTATTCAATCAATAGTAGTAATTTGAATACCACGTGGTTGTTTGTTGTGTAAAGAGAAATCAAATTAAATGAATTTCTGTAATGTTAACTTTTAGAAAACAAAACCTGAACACGTTATGCAAACAAATAATAAAGTTAACTGTCAATCATTGAAACTTAGTTTTATAACATTTTATGAGTACAGTAGAGCGTCGTTTATCCGAAACGTCGGTTATCTGAAAGAATTCCAGTTGGCAAATTTAAATTTTCGCTAGTGCTGAGGCGCTGCAATCTTTGGCTATGTCTTGGGCGACTCAAATATTTAACGTTTTTGATACTAAACTAATTTTTGAAGTATAACTTTTTTATTGTTTTTATATTTTTCCATACATTTATTTTGTTTGTACAAAATAAAAAGAAAATAATTATCAACGATACAATATCAACGATTATTGTTTTAAAAAGTTTACGTTAGGCTTAACATTGACGAAAATTCAACGCAAAGCGACACGCAACGGAGAAAACTTTCAACACGGGATAGGTTAATATACTTTTTCGTACATAATCGTTTATCCGAAAAATAAGTTATCCGAACAACTCCAGTTCCCAATTGATTCGGATAAACGACGCTTTACTGTATTGTTGTTCATACAGAAAAATATATTTAAACAGTTAATAACAACAAAAATTAGTTTTACAAATACACAATTATTAACTTCACTTATAAATATGATTAAAAATTAATTAGCAATATTGAATGGCCTCACTCTGCCTTTCCTGCTTGTAATCATTTTTATCTTGTTGACAAAAATTTCTGTAAAAAATACTACAAAAGAGATCAAATATCCTGTAACTAATAAATAGAGAAGACTTATAATATCATACATTTTCAGAAGTTTTTCATTATCAGTATCAATAGCATTATCATTGTAGAAGACTTCGCTTCTTGTTTTTTCTTCACGCATGTTTCTGTGCACTTTCTGAGATAATCCACTTTGTTCAATAAGATTTACACTGTTAAATACAAATGTATATTATTAAACTTATATATATATATATTTAGTAAATTACTTCACTTACAAAATATATTATAGATATTTGAATTACTTAAATTGTTTAAAATATACTTGCACCATGAAATTGTTAAATGTGTTGTACTATTCAGTTGCATTATTTATTTAATAATTACATTAAATAAAAAAATTACTGGCAAACCTTGATAATTACAATAATAAAAACAATCAAAAATATAAAGTATTGCACTGTCAACAATTAATTTTTCTCTTAAACATTTTGATAGTAGCTTTCTTGCTATTTGTCATCAAGGAATTATATCAAAAGCTAAAAGATTTATGTTATTAATTAAACAAATTACATGTAAAATTTTTGCGAAAATCGAAACATATTTTGGAGTATGCAACGTTTTATAAAGTCTCGCTAATTGCCAGCAGCTGAATGGATAAAACTACTGAACACTAGTAATCGTAATTAAAATTGAATAGTAGTAATTGAAAGCAGCTATATATCCAATAATTAGAATGCATAGATGAAATTTTGCCTGTGTTATTCCAGGTGTTTGACTTTTGAACAATGCCTGTTAAAAACTAGAAAAATCATATAAAAATTTTGAATTTTGCTGGTTTTATTACTTTGTTATAAACCTATAACTATATTTGTTTAAATTAATATGGTATGATATTATTTTAGTATGAAAATAAAAGCTGTTTATCGTTTCTATTTGCACTAAAATAAGATATGATATTAGTGAACAGACATGATACTGTGTTGTCTTATATCTATCATTTAGAATATATAATGTCAATAATTATTTTAAAACTAGCAGGTGGGCCTGGCGTTACTCGGGCAAAAGTAACGATAACTAAGATAAAGATTATTACGTTACAGTAAACCTTACCCGTTTTCACAGAATGCAAGAATTGGGTCCCCTTGTTTCCAGACTGATTAGAGAATTTTTAGATGGGTCTAAAAATATGTTCGATTTCCTGCAAAAACGAAAAAAACTGCATCTGCATATTGCACGTCGCTTTCTCTTAACAATTCCATTGTTACGAAGCATTTCCATTATTGACACTTCCATTGTTACTTAACACTTCCATTGTTACTTAACACTTCCATTGTTACTTAACACTCCCATTGTCACTTAGCACTTCCATTGTTACTTAGCACTTCCATTGTTACTTAACACTTCTATTGTTGATGGAAGTGTTAAGCCTGAATCCTGTCCCTCTCCAACCGTGGGGAAGAATTTTGAAAAATCCCTTCTTAGTGTGCGTTCTCCTAACGTACCCTAACTGTGTACCAAATTTCAACTTTTAACTCCTAACCGTTTGGGCTCGTATCCATAATGTACTGTATATAGAAGTTTTGATCCTGCCTCTCTCCCCCCCGGGGGAGAATTTCGAAAAATCCCTTCTTAGTGTGCGTTTTCGTGACGTACCCTATCTGTGTACCAAATTTTAACTTTCAACTCCTAACCGTTTGGGCTCTGCACTTATTATTATTATCATTATTATTATTATCAACCCGTCTCGATTATATATATAGATTTGACATTGTTACAATACCTTATAATTTATACACGAGTTATAAAGTCATTGTAACTTCTTTCGGTTTAAATAATTGAAAGTAGAATCATTGTATAAATTTAACATATTTCACGTGATGAGAAAACGCAAAAATTATGTCGCGTATTTTCGTTACAAAACAAAATCAAACATCGTAAAATCATTGTTAGTTTTTTGCTATAATAGTTTAAGAATATGTTGCTTACAGCATAATTATGTGAGAATACGGGTGAATTGCATAAATGTCTAGTCGTCGGGACGTTAAGACCCACTGACGTTGTTACTACATGGATATAAGTTAGAATTTGTCACAAAATCAGATCCTTGATGATGTCAAAACCTGACACCAGTTAAGATAATTATTCACGTTATAAGTTGCGAGGGTTTAAAATTGACAGTTGTACATTCGAGTGGAAACGATTTAATTTTAATTCAAAGGCAATAAATCGAGTGGAGAGGTCGTGGATAAGTAATGGCTATCCGGTGTTCTTGTAACTACCATTGAGTAGACATGTTGACAATTAACAAACCAAAAATTGAAATAAACAGAAAATGACAATTGCATAAGAACGAACATATCTATATATGGATAAATCACATGTGCCTATATTTCCAATTTTTCAGAAAAAGTTCATATTATATTTTAGAATATCTCAATTAATACCTGAATGTCTTTGTTTTGGCAGCGGTAATTCAGAAAAGTGGCTGATGCTGTGGAGTAAGAAAGATACATAGACCAAAATATGTAAGAAACTGACGACTCCCAACAATTAAGTTTCGCACAATTAATTACAAAACGTTAGGTAAGTAAATAAAATGTTGACGTGTTGCTTATAGCAGACTAAATTCTGATGCAATTGCCATACATTTTTCCTTCCCAGGCATTAACACAGTGTAATCGCTGGATTCTTTTAGATGAAAATACTAACGATCACCTGTGTTTAGTTTTAGAATGTACAGTACGTTGTTTTCCAAATATGCAATTCATCCCATTATGAAAACATACTTAGGATCATAATTATAATAAACTTCGTTTCGAAGTGCCATCACACTTTCGAATTGTATGACACAATTAGCACGTCACTTTAGGATTATTCCATTTGCACTTTATTATGTGATAAAACGAGAAAGTAAAACTTCACTTTTTATGGCTTTTGACTGTAAAATAAGCATATTAACGAAATGAAGTACAAATTTTGCCATTATGGCAAAATTTATATTTTATTTCGTTAATATGCTTATTACGACACAACTTTCAAATTAATTTCCATCAACACACATTATGCTATAGAGGAGTATTCTTAATAAATCTTGTTGATTCGATTTTTATAAATTATTTATATAGTTTGTTCGCAACTAAGCAATATAAACTTTTTACTAAACAATAAATTTAAATTCGACAGTTTAAAATTAATTTTAGCGTAAATTTTACCACTTTTATTGACTTTCTATGTTTTCTTTCGCAGAATTTGAATAATTTTGACTTTTATGAATATGCTTAACCGATTTCGGAAATTGATAGTTGCTTGTGTTACAGATTGACAATGAATACGTATTAAATGCTTAATAAAAAACAATATAGGTTAAAATGACAGTAAAAAGATCATTTAAGATAAAGACGATCTTAAAAAAGTAGCACTTTAAAGGACATATGGTAAACTAATTCCTATTTATATGGTAAACACGTGAAATTTTCCTACAGCTTAATAAAGAGACGCCAATTATCAATAACATTCTGTTTATACAAAAAATCAACTTGTGTATTAATTAATGAGCATCAGTCATTAATTGCTTAGTTGTGGCAAGTTTCATATTTATTTTTTAATTAATCATGTCTATGCTATTTTTAACAGTGTTATCAAAAATTCATATTTTGGTATTGCAATACCACGCTGTTCGCTATAGTAGTTGTTATATTCACGATTATTTACAGTATAAACAAATAACTCAACGGAAAAGTCCTTGTTCCATGTAGGAGAAAAAATAAAATAAAGACCACAAATTTAATTATATATTAAGGTCTAACTTTGAGCTTTTGTCGATTCTTTTCACAAACAGACCTTAATTAACAATGTTAATTGATATTATCCACTTATAAATTTAGAGTGATAAGAAACGTATTTTTAATACTTACGCATTAGCGATTTTAGCAGCATAGTTCACTTTCACTAAATTCATTTGTATAAACTGAAATTTCGTAAAAAGTATATCATTTGAAATGAAGATCTTTTCTTTTTCTTGTTTGGTTATGCTCATTTCAATTTGCTGTCTTGATGCTAGCACGGCGTGAGTTCCCTTTAGTACTTTTTTAATTGGTTCTATACCCATCTCGTTACACTTTTGAACATTTTCATCAAAGATTTTGATCACATTATTTTTAATTATTGCATTCTTAAAGTATTTCTACAAATATATAAATAAAAGAAATTTATGTAAATGAAAATACACAAACACAGCTTTAATAATTTTATAGAAAAAGTAACTTACAGTTGCAACTTCAGAATATTTCAAAAATTATGTTGTAACATATTTAACTATAACTATTTTTAAAGTACTACTTGTGTAATCATTTCAATTGTGTAATAACACTATCAGGTATTCAAAGCAACAGAGATTTTTAGCTATAGATTCAGCTAGTGTATTTATGACAGCTACTATATTAAATACAAAATTAAAACAATAATTCTGTATTTCAGAATAAATTAAAGGATACAGTTTTTTATGTTGCAATGGTCTATTTATTATTGATGTTTATTGACATAATGTATAAATATTTGAATCATTTTCTCTACGAATAATGCAAATAACATACGATTTACACTTACGACAGATTTTCCTTCATTTAACCGCCTCGATCTTTCTTCAATTATTATATGAATATTTAATAAATTATTAACTGGCATTTAATTGTATAAACTATTGTAAAACCACCGGAAGGGGGGGTAGGTCTTCTGATCCGGCAACAGGTTGTTAAACCCTTTCACTGTCAGGATGAGTGGAAAGAGTCTTTTTCCCGCAGTAACGGGCTTTAATGTTTCGGGTCGAGTGGCGGAAGATGCAGTGCGTCGGTGAGACGACAGGCGATATACGAGTAAACGAGGAGGCCAGATGTAACATAAGGAAAATTAACAATTTATTAAAGCAAGTTCGGGTAGTACATCGTTTAGTTCGTGTCCCTAAAACGCGGAGACCGAGAGAGGGCTTACAATAATTGGTTTCATACCTCTTGATCTGTTATCCACTGAGGAAAATTATCCACTCTTTGAATTAGAAAAATTCACTTGTCAAAAATTCACTGGTTAGGAAAGTTCACTGATTAGGAGTGTTTACTGGTTAAATATTAAAATCAATAATTTAGGAAAGTTCACTGATTAAAAAGGACACTATTTTAAAGTTATCGGCTCCTGGCACCTGCTCAGGAACGACTCCTCCGAGAAGGGAAAGGAAGGGGTTTTTATAAGATCGGCGTGGGAGAATGGTCACGTGATTGATTGTTGTGAGGTAAAAGGTACGCAGATAAGTCAGAGTTGTTCCCGGGACCATGCTAACTATCAACTTTGGAGTTGGAATGTGGGATTAGTTTCGAATTGAACGGATGTTTATGTCGAACATAAACGAAATTTTTTCCCGGTAGCTTCACATTTAAGTTAAAGAAAATTTAAATAACGTTTTCAGGCGAATACGAAGCAATTAGTCGGCAAAATAATCGGTAAAAATTTCGAATCTCACATTCACTCCCTGTTTTCTTTAAAATCGCACTTAGTAGTGTGATTTTAATCTTTCTGATTGGTTTGTCTGGGTAGAAATATGTTTACATAGAGAATGGTTCAAATGACCTTTTGCTTTTTTTTTATTCTCTTTTGCAAAAAAAAAACCTTTCGGTTACATAAAAAATGGTCGCTTCGAAATTAAAAGCGATAAAAGAATCCGATGTGAAATGTAACACTTTGATTATACAAATAAATCCCGGCACGTGTCATTCGCGACAATATTTATTACTCGAGGTGAGAAGACTGGTGTCTTCGAGATGAAGTGGTTGATTGGTCAGTTGAAGTTCCCGTTGACCTGGATACGAAGGTACTGGTCAAAGTTCGTTAGGGTCGAGATGGTCCTTTTCCTTGGAGTTCTTGGTTTCGTCGGCTGGATTTTTGATGTGCACGAGGTTGTTTTATCGGTGATATACCACTTTCAAGCTGATTCTGGACTAGAAGTAAGTAGATTGTTGTTATTTTGTAGTGGCGATCAGGTTAGAAATTCCTGGGCGATAGGTTGATTGGCACTTCGAAATGTTACAATGGTTGAGGAGTCCCGTGCGTTGGACGTCTTCGGCTTAAGAGGTAAAAGTAGCACTTTTCTTTGATTAAAACATTAATAAAAGTTAATAATAATGGTAAAATTGTCACTGAGTTTCATCTAGAGGTATATGAAGGTTACATATATATTTATTTTTACTGTCTCTCGGATTTAAAATTATAAATTTAGGATATATATATATATATATAAATTTAGGAAAAAATTGGAAATAGGCAGAAATGATTCCGGGTAGGTAACCGGTGCATGCAGTTGGGAAATTAATCATTCCCGTATGATTCAATTTGTGAATTGTAGATATATAAGGTGATTTCTGAAGTCTTGTAGGACATCTAATAGTTAAGGTGAGAGGTTCGGGTGTGGAATAAATCCAGGTTCCCTGTCGATCTATTCTTTTAAAAATTGGAGTATATTTTGCAACGATTTGTCGAACACAGAGTTCTTTAACTTGGGTTTTGATTCCATTAAATAAGGCATATTCACAACTTTTGTGAGGAAATCGTTGGATAGGAACATTCAATTAACAAATAGGAAAATGATCTATCTTGCACATGGCGAGTTCGAATCGTTGGAGCAACATGTACGATTGTCTATCCATAGTTAAAGCAATTATAGGATAATTCGTTTTAAATTGGAAAAAGGTCTTTAATGTGGATATGTATGTTGGAAATTTGCCAATTTCATACATATCAAAATATCCACTGGGAGTGATTAAGGGAATTTTTGCGAAAATACGTAGTTTACCAGGTAAAGCTACTGCGACGGTAGTGAGCCACTGGTAATATTTAAACAACGTATCCCGTTGGATGGGTTCGATCACTGCGTAGCCTTCCGGAAGTTGAAGTTGAATGTCTCGTAGAGTTTTTAACATTACTTCTCGTGAGATAAAATATGTACTTAATCGACCTTGTTCCAAAATATCAATGGCTTCTCGTAGTTCTACCAGTTGGAAATTAAATTCCTGAACGGAGAATTGAATAGTTCGTCGAATTATCTCAAAGGCTAGGTTATATTGGTATAAATTCATGACTTCTCCAAAATATTCTTGTCGTTTATATAATATATAAGTCTGGTGCCTATTATGCTTGCTTATATTTAGGGTATCATTTAACCACTCAGCAGTGACAGACGAGTATAGTTGTCAAGAGCGATTGTGTTCAATAAATTGAATTTTACAGTAAAATACTTGGANAGACCGAATGGAGGATTTTAGAAGAACTTTAAGAATTTGTTTGGATCATTATGGTTAGTGTTTATGTGTGTCGTTGTACTGTAACTTACATTTAAAATAAATAACTGTTTAACACTGTACTTGGTTCGATTCAAGTGAATTATTATCAAACTGGAGCAATTTTCTGTTCTTCACGATACTCAGTGAAGATAAGAAATTTTCGAACTTCCGTGATTATGTTAATAATTTACATACAAGATGACGGTAACATATAATTATAATTTATACGTTATTAAATATACAAAATTATGCTGTATTATTAAGAATATTATAATAGTATGTATTCATTCAAGAAAATAAACACGTTGATGAATGTAATGTAAACATTTTAGCCGACTAAGAAAGTAATTGTTTAAATGATAAGTTACAATATTCAGAATTTTCTGATCTTGTTCTTGCGAATAATAAATCCTTGAAACGAAATTTACATGATTTTCAATTACAAAAATTTCGATTAGAAGATAAACCACATTCAAGTAAGATAATTACTTTAAAAGCGATTTTTTAAAATATTCATACAAGTTTAGTACTTTCATTTTATTATATAAACTTGATTTTATCAATTAATTGAGTCTATTCTTTCTCCGTATTAGAATTATTACATGTAAATAATAAATAAAAGATGTAATCTATTTAAATGTATTATTTTGTATTTGAAGAAAATACAATTTATTGAAATACCGTTGTTTATAATGTTTTTTTGCTGTTTAAAAACACGTAATAAATGAAATGATTTACTATCTCAAGCAACTTTTACTTTTATTAAATGATTTTCTCTATGGCAAACCACTAAAGCTACAGTAACCTCCTCGTACAGAAAGTAACTCTTAAACATATTAAGTTTCAAAACATATTATTTCACAGTTTATATAATTATACACCTTTTAAAATCATTATTCTGACTATTTCTACATGACTGGTTAAAATTTTGCACTCCTCTGTGAAAAAAAAATTCATAAATTATACGTTAAGCAATTCAATTCGATACGATTAACAGAATAAATGCAACGCATACGCGATCTGCCAAGGAGGGAATGCCAACGATGAGTAATTTCTGTGGTAATCTGGTTCCACTATATATTGTAGACTGGCAATAAATTCCGAGGGACTCTACCAAACTATTTCACGTGTGAGTCCCGAATCTGAAATTAATGCTTATTGATTTATAAAGTGATTTTTTCAATAGTGAATTTGGTTCTAAAAATAACTTAAAATAAATGTAAATAACAACTTACTGGTTTTGACATTCGAAAAACGTATTATAAAATAATTTATTCGTTGTTTATGTTTCTGTAAATTCAGGGCTGTGGAGTTGTAGAGTTTTGGTGGTATGGACGAAGTCAGAGTCGTCAAAAAATCTTCTGACTCCGACTCTTTTTTTACTTACCAACTTGTTATGTATATGAAACGGAGTCGGAGTCAGAGTCGGTAGATTTTTATGCGACTCCACAGCCCTGTGTAAATCGCAGTACAGTTAAGATTTGTAAATTTGAATTATTTTAAAATAGACTATTTTATTGAAAACTACTGTATTACTTATTTTTAAGAAAGTACTTCAAACCAAAAATGAAATGACAAAAAATCGCGACTTCTTATGATGTGTGGACAGACATTTTGTTTTTAAACAATACACCAAAATTAAAGTAATTTATGAAGTTGCAAATAGTCTTGTAAATTTTTTTCTATAGTAAAACCTTTATCTATTATTATATCAATTAAAAGTTTTACAGGTGCAAAATGCTCATAAATTATGCTAATTATAAAAAAGAGTATAACTTTTACTGAATAAAACAATGCGGAAACATTGTATCTTGTACAGATTGTTTTCTGTTGTAAATGTCTTT